TGTAGCATGCACACCGAAATGTCGTACTGCACACGTACCTGTAGTATGCACACGTGCATGTGCTAGTCATACCACCACATGGTAGGATGAGGCTAAGTATAGCACACGGGTACATGTTCATGCACACGTACATGTAGCATTGCCACAATGTACATGCTAGCCTGCACAACGTCATGTAGTGACACACGTCCATCGTAGTAGCTGCCACACGTACATGCTATATCACACTGTACATGTAGCTGCACACGTGCAATGTTAGCATCCCACTGGTACATGTAGCATCGCACACGTACATGTAGGCTATGCCCACGTCTACATGTTAGCATGCCCACGTGCATAGTAGCATGCACACGTATCATGTAGCATGACACGTACATGTAGTATGAATCGTACATAGTATGCTATGCACTCGTCATAACACTCTCAGCATGCACCCACCGTGGCACTGTAGTATATGGTTATATGGTTTGGGTGACCAGTTTACAATATGATTCCTTCTGCAGCAGGGGTCCGTGTCATGTTTGCCCGTCTGGGAATTTTTTTTAATTAGGCTATTATTTGTGCATCTCTGGTGCATTTTGAGGCCCTGTGACGTCCTGAACCGTGAGTTCGCAACCGCCTAATGCGCTCTGGTTAATGTAAGTATTGTGCACCTTTCCCGTACCGCTTTAAAGTTTATGCACCACGTCCATCGTGTATACCCATGTAAATAGATTGCACACGTACATACTAGTTCGACACGTACTCAGATTCCACCCCAGTTCATCCACTTCACATTTTCGTCTCTCCTGAAAAGATTGTATTCAGTAGCGTATGTGTTTACTCATACATCTCCCTGCGCGCTGTAACATCCGCGATGCAACTGATATCTGCTGCAGTGTCTGACCATTTGTCAACAGCTCGTGTGTGATCTAAGATCGCTACATTTGTATATTGCAGCTGTCTGCCATGTTCACCAGGCTCGGTGTGTTGACATATCGTTATGTTGTATATCTATTTGCAGCTGTCTGCCATGTCATCAGCTCTGTGTGTGACATATCTCGCTACGAGTTGGTATCATGTGGGCGCCTGGTGCTGGGCCATGTCACAGCTCGTGTGTGACGATCGCTACCTTTGTTATTCATTGCTAGCTGTTCCTGCTCGATGTCACAGCTCGTGTGTTACCATATCGTTATATGTATCATTGCAGCTGTCTGCCATGTCACACTCGTGTTGTGACAATTGCTATGTTGTATCATTGGACCTGTCTGCCTGTCACAGCTGCGTGCTGTGACATATCGCTACGAGTTGTACTCAATTGCTGCCTGCCACCATGTCACCGCTCGTGGTGTGACATTATCGGCTCATTGATCGTTGCAGCTGTCTGGCCATGTCACAGCTCGTGTGTACATACTCGCTACATTGTTATTTTACATTGGCTGCTGGCCTAATGTCACTAGCTTCGTTGTGACATATCTGGGTCTATGTTGTATCATTGCACCTGTCTGCCATGTCACAGGCTCGTTGGTGTGACATAGTCGCTACACTTGTATCAGTGCAGCTTCTTCTTGCCATGTCACATGCTCGTTGTGTGACATATTGCTATGTTGTATCAGTGCACCTGTTGCCATGCTACAGCTCAGTGTGTGACATATCGCTTTACATTGTATCTGATTGCACTGTTCTGCCAATGTGAGCGCAGCTCGTGTGTGTACCTATCGTTATATTGCTATCATTTGCAGCTGCCCTGCCATGTACAGCTCGTGTAGTGACCATATTGCTATCGTTGTATCATGCGACCGTCCTTGCCCATGTCCCCGCTGTGTGTGACATATTGCTACATTGTTCATTGCGCTGGCCTGCTCCAGGTTTCACAGCTCCGTGGTGACATATCGGCTTACCTTGTATTCGTTGCAGGTCTTTCCTGTCTCATGTCACTAGCGTCAAGTGGGCAAAGTCGCTTACTTTATCAGTTGCAGCTGCTGCCTGTCACAGCTCGTGATGTGAAATATGCTATGTGTATCATTGCACCTGTTCTGCCATGTTCACAGCTCGTGTGTGACATATCGCTCATGTATCAGTGGCAGGCTGCCTGTCCATGTCCTAGCTCGTGTGTGACGATCTTGTCTATGTTTGTATCATTAGCACCTGTCCCTTGCCATGTCACAGTGCTCGTGTGTGACATTATGGTCTGACATTTGTATGCATTGCAGCTTTGCCTGCCATGTTCCGCTCTGTGGTGTGACATAGTCGCTACATTGTATCATTGCAGCGTGCCTGCCATGTCACGCTCGTGTGTGACATATCGTTATGTTTGTTTATTGCAGCTGCTGCCATGTCAACAGCTCTGTGTGTGACATCTTGCTATGTTTGTATCTTGCCCCTGTCTGCCATGTTAGCAGCTCGTGGTGACATATTCGCTACATTGTATCTATTGACTGTCTGCCATGTCAGGCTCGTGTGTGACTCTTCTATTGTTGTATCATTGGCACGCTGTCTCGCCGATGTCACAGCTCGTGGTGACATATCGCTCACATTGTATCCATTGCCCACGCTGCCGCCATGTCACAGCTCGTGTGTACTATATCCGGTATGTGTCTCATTTGCACCTGTCCTGATCACAGCTCGTGTGTGACATATCGCTACATTTACTCATTGCAGCTGTCTGCTGTCCACAGCTCGTGTGTGGACATATCGTTGATGTTTTGTATCATTGCAGCTGTCTGCCAGTTCTACAGCTCGTTGTGACATAGTCGCACATTGTATTATTTGCAGTGTCCTGCCAGTATGTTCTTACAGCTTCGTGGTGACAGTTCGCTACATTGTATCGTTGCAGGGCTGCTGCCAATGTCAAGCTCGTGTGTGACATGTATCTGCACACTTGGTATCGTTGCAGCTGTCTGCCATGTCACAGGCTGGTGTGTGACATACTCGCTATCATTGTTCGTTGGCAGCTGCCTGCCATGTCAACAGCTCGTGTGTGTACATTCATCGTTAGTCGTGTATCATTTGCCAGGCCTTGCCGATGTCACAGCTCGTGTGTGACATGTTCAGTGCGTTCGGAGAGAGAGTGCCTGATGCTGTCCCGACCATGTTACTACAGTGAGTACGGCATCCTGCACCCCTGCTACGTTCCTAGCATTCACGCAGGACGACGAGCAAATCACGTGTCTCAGGAAGACGCCCCACAGCTGCGCCGATGATTACGCATAACGCCCACGTATATTATGATAGCAGGGGAGCGAGAGTCCAGTATTTAGTGGCAATCTGATCAGGCATATGTAGCAGGGGAGAGAGAGAAGTAGTTAGGAATATGTAGCAGGGGAGAGAGAGAAGTAGTTAGGAATATGTAGCAGGGGAGAGAGAGAAGTAGTTAGGAATATGTAGCAGGGGAGAGAGAGAAGTAGTTAGGAATATGTAGCAGGGGGAGAGAGAGAAGTAGTTAGGAATATGTAGCAGGGGAGAGAGAGAGAAGTAGTTAGGAATATGTAGCAGGGGGGAGAGAGACGTATTTAGGTATTATTGTCTACGATTGAGAAATATGGAGTTGCGAGAGAGAACGAAAGAGAGTGGTCAGTCACGATTGTGGAGTAGGGCCTATGTAGCAGGCGAGAAGTGTTTAGCAAGTCACGGCCACGATTGAGGAATATATGGCAGAGAGAGAGAGAGAAGTATTTAAGAATTCACAGTTTGAGCTTGTTGTGAGTTTGATGGTATGTGTCTGCTGCTGCAGCTGCTGCTGCCGTTGCTGCTGCTGCTGCTGCTGCTGCTGCTGCTGCTGCTGCTGCTGCTGTTGCTGCTGCTGTCCGATATTGATAACGTTAAGCAATGAACCGCACAGGACACTTATTACAGAACTATATCATTTCACCTTTTGTATCTAATCTTGACATTTAGAGATCACCCTAGCTAGGTATGGCATGCCAGAAGTGTAGCGACGAATCAGCGATAATCTCGTAGTGGTAACTTCAAGTTCCAAAGGACTCTAACGTAGACGGAGATTGAGGTCAATCAGATCGCTAGATCAACCCTGCGAATAGCAGCAGAGAAGCTCAATACCAGTGTTTACTATAGATGACGGGAGCGAGTCCCAGGAAGGAATTACTGAAACAAAATAAACTACGTTTGAGTTGATGATGTGGTGATGTTTATGCTTACAGCTGTTATCCGACCTGTGACCGCTGTGAAGGCCCGCTCGACACACAGTGCACCGAGTGTCGGGAGGAGTATAAACTACACGAAGGCAAATGTCAGGTGCCACGCGGAGGACCAGAACTTAAGTGTGGTGCAGGTATGACATGCTGTCTATATACAGATGGTAGTATAGATGACAAATCACTATATACAGGAGGCTGTATGTACTCACAATATATATATATATATATATATATATATATTCTAAGGCAAGGCTGGTTTTACTGTAGAGGCATTTTTGCACATGTCTAATGCATGCCAATGGTTACAACATATTACCTTTACGTATTACATATTACGTATAACATATTACCTTGACGTATTACATATTACGTATAACATATTACCTTGACGTAAACACTGATTATGACTAGCGTATATCATTCAGTATTGCTAGTACTGCTGCACATGTTCCTGCTAGTGATCCTCCTCTAACACTGTATATAATAACCCATGCAGACATGTACGTCGACAACGCAGGCGAGTGCGGCAGTTGTCACTCTCTATGTAAGACGTGCGTTGGACCCCGCGAGACGGACTGTGTCACCTGCTTCCATGGAACGTGAGTAAACGCGGATCTTCTAATCACTCAGCTCGCATCAAGTGCCATCAGCATCTACTGCCTTCGTTAACTCTACAGTTTCTATCAGCTCTAATGCTCTGCTGTTTAAAGGAGGGAGAAAATGAAGGAAATATTGCGTAGCGACCGTCTTTGCTAATTAGTGTCATCGTTAGTGTGAGTGGCGGGTGCTCGTTAGATGTAGGCTAGGCTTACAGGAGTGTTCACCATGAGTGCATTGGCTTCATTTACCTGCTACCTCAGTACGTCATTACTACACTTCATTTACCTGCTACCTCAGTACATCATTACTACACTTCATTTACCTGCTACCTCAGTACATCATTACTACACTTCATTTACCTGCTACCTCAGTACATCATTACTACACTTCATTTACCTGCTACCTCAGTACATCATTACTACACTTCATTTACCTGCTACCTCAGTACATCATTACTACACTTCATTTACCTGCTACCTCAGTCTTCATTTACCTGCTACCTCAATACATCATTACTACACTTCATGTACCTGCTACCTCAATACATCATTACTACACTTCATTTACCTTCTGCTACCTCAGTACATCATTACTACACTTCATTACTGCGTCTCTGACTTGGATGTTGTGATTAGCATGTTATATCTACATTAACTCGATTCAGTAGCATCGTAGCAAACTGCGCGTATAGGTGTGGCTGGCTTAACCGCCCCTAGCAGACATTCATCCTTCCTTCACCTCTAAGTAACATACACAGTGATGTAACGATTCTCCTGTACAAGTTACACCATCAAATGAATTCTTTGAATCTAGTAATCTACCTCGTTGCTTGCAGGGCCGCCCCTACATGTATAACATAGATGTGATGACTGCAACGACGCAGTACTAGGTTAATACCGGTGCTGCGTGTATGTAATGTATTTGTGTGTATATATCGTCATGCAGTACTAGGTTAATACCGGTGCTGCGTGTATGTAATGTATTTGTGTGTATAAATCGTCACGCAGGTTTCTGGACATGTCTGGGTCGTGCGTGGACGCGTGTCCGGCGGGACAGTACCCCAGCAGCAGCGGCGAGCGCGTGTGTCTGCCCTGTAACAACATGTGTCTGCTTTGCTCGGGGGGCGACGATGCAGACTGCAGGTCTTGTCGCCCCGGCCTCCACCTGGACAACGGTCACTGTGTCGCCAGCTGCCCACACGGGTAAGTGCGGTCATCGCCTTGTTACTGTCTCACTTCTGTCTCACTGTCTCACTGTCTCAATGTGTTTCTACTCTCTCACTACCTCGTTACTGTCTCATTGCCTCACTGTCAGTCGCTGGCTGACTTTTATAACTACTGTCACAACAGTCACTACTGTCTCACTACTGTCTGACTGTCTCAATGTATTTCTACTCTCTCACTACCTCGTTACTGTCTCATTGCCTCACTGTCAGTCCCTGGCTGACTTTCTAACTACTGTCACTACTGTCTGACTGTTAATAATGTTTTACTACTCTCACTATCTCAATGTCTCACTGGCTGACTGTTTTACTATCTTATTGTCTTACTGCTTCACTGTCTTACTGCCTGACTATATTACTGTCTCACTGTCTTACTGCCTCACTATATTACTGTCTCACTGTCTTACTGCCTTACTATATTACTGTCTCACTGTCTTACTGTTACTATTACTGCTTCACTGTCTTACTGCCTCACTATATTACTGTCTCATTGTCTTACTGTTACTATTACTGTCTCACTGTCTTACTGCCTCACTATATTACTGTCTCACTGTCTTACTGTTACTATTACTGTTTTACAGTTTTGCTGCACGTCACTGTCTCATTGTTTCATTGTCTTACTGTTTTACTGTCTTACTGTTTTACTGTCTTACCATCTTTCTATTTTACTCTTTATTGTTTTACTGTTATGTGCTGCTTATGACAAATTTTTCATTTTTCAGTGTTTACTTATTAATTATTGTTTACTGTTTAACATTTGCTGTTTTCACGGGGTTTTCCGTTTAATCTCGGCTGAAACGCGCAGTGTTAGTGACAGTGCTAGCTAGCGTCACCATCCAAGAAGTGTATACATAATATGTACATACACATTGACATATCTAAACATTTACACATATACATACACACACGTGTGTTGTTGTTGTTGTTGTTGTTGCCTGCAGTAAGTACGCAGCATCTACTGGTCGCTGTGAGCCATGTCACGCGTCGTGCGCCGGCTGCCTCGGCTCCAGCGACAAGGACTGCAGCAGCTGTAAGCCCGGCATGTTCCTGCTCGACTACGCTTGCTACGGCCGCTGCCCCGACGGTTACTACGCCGAGGAGGTGGACGGTCAGATGACGTGTGTTACCTGTTATCACTCGTGCAATACCTGCTCAGGTGAGTGAGTGTTACTTGTCATCACTCGTGCAATACCTGCTCAGGTGAGTAAGTGTTACCTGTCTGCCCTCTACTGTATTCAGCAGTGGATGGAGTAGTCTGCCCTCTACTGTATTCAGCAGGGGCTGGAGTAGTCTGCCCTCTACTGTATTCAGCAGGGGATGGAGTAGTCTGCCCTCTACTGTATTCAGCAGGGGCAGGAGTAGTCTGCCCTCTACTGTATTCAGCAGGGGATGGAGTAGTCCTCTTGCCAGCATATTAACGCTGCCTGCCTGTGAGGTAGCTTATGGATCTGTGTGACGCTATATGTTATATTGACACGTTTAAGGTGACGGACCAAACAAGTGCCTGAGCTGCCAGTCAGACTTCATCCTGCGCGAACACATCTGCTACGAACCATGCTCAGACTCCGAGTATTTCAACAGATTCAAACAGGTAGGCATGTGTGATGCATCGTCTGCTTACACCAGCTAGCAGGTGTAACTTGATTACTTGATTACAGTTATAAGTTACACATTTATATTCACAGGTCCATCGTGCAGTTGTAGGTAATTGTAACATTAACCGCACTTGAACATATCTTCGCTGTTCTTGGATACAATGATGCTGACTTGCCTGACTAAATTTGCCCTGCGTGCCTGTATTTGATCTACATAGTGACTTACCTCCTTAGGACTCGCCTACCTGATGACCTATGTAGCTCATGATTTACCTGGTTCATGACTTACCTGGCTCATGACCTATCTGACTCATTAACTACCTCATTAACTCATGCGTCACCTTGATCACTCTCTTGCTGCTTTCAGATGTGTGCGCGGTGTCACTCTAACTGTGCGACGTGTAGCGGACCATCTGAGTCGTCGTGCACATCCTGCTCCGACGGATACGGACTCGATGGCCCCAGGTCACGCTGCGTGCCGTGCTGCCCTCACCACGACGACCCGACCATGCACGGATGCTGCACCTGCGACCATCAACACAGTACGTAACACACACACACGCACGCACGCACGCACACACACACACACACAGACACACACACACACACACATACACACG